AGATTCTCCTCCCTCTTTCCTCAGTGCTGGGATTAAAGACATGTACCAACACACCCTACTCCATTAATATACTTTAAATTTATTTTGTGTGTGCCTGTGGAAGTCAACTTGTAAGAATTGGTTCTATTATGTGGATTCTGGGAATTGAACGCCAGTCACCAGGCTTGGTGGCAGGCACCTTTACTAAGGACTGACTGAGCCATCTGACTGTCCCAAAGTATTGTGTGTGTGTGTGTGTGTGTGTGTGTGTGTGTGTGTGTGTGTGTGTGTTTTGAGATGGTCTCCCTGTAGCCCCAGCTGGCCTGGAACTCCCAGAGATCCTCCTGCCTCTGCCTCCCTAGTTCTGGGATTAAAGGCGTGCACCACCACACCTGGCCTGTGTGTTTTTTGTAAGGACTTGTTTTTATTTTATGTGTGTTTACCTGCCTGAATGTATATATACCATGTTCATGCCTTGTTCCCACAGGGGGCTAGAAAAGAGTGTTGAATCTCCTGGAACTGAAATTACAGACAGGAAGTGATCTACCATAACTCCAGTTCCAGAGGATCTAACTCCCTCTTCAGGCCTTCACAGGCATTGCATAAATGTGGTGTACTTGAGTGCTGGGATTAAAGGCAAGTGCTACCACGCCTGGCCTTAAATACATACATTTTTTTTTTTTGGTCTTTTTGAGACGGTCTCCCTGTAATCCCAGCTGGCCTGAACTCACTGTGTAGAGCAGGCTGGCCTTGAACTCACAGAGATTTGCCTGCCTCTGCCTCCCTAGTGCTGGGACTAAAGATGTGTGCCACCACACCAGGCTTTAAATAAACACATTTTGAAGATAAATCTCCCGTGGAGCACAGGATGGGTAGAGCTCACTGTCTAGCCAAGGATTATCTTTGGGGGCAGGGAGGCAGGGTTGCACGGCTCTCTATAGCCCTCAGGTGACCTGGAACTTGCTAGGTAGACCAGGCTTACTTTTATCTCACAGAGATCCACATGGCTCTGCCACTTAAATGCTGGGATTAATGACATGTGCCACCATGCCCACTACCTTGAACTCCATCCTCTTGCCTCCATTTCCCAGGTACTAGGTTACAGGCACTTGCCCCTTACCCAGTCTGCAGAAGTATATTAACATTCTTAGACACCATGCTACTTCATCCCTGATAACATCAGAGTGACATTTCATCCCCACCCCCTTTTTGAGACAGGGTCTTCCTGTAGCTCCAGCTGGCCTCCATCTCACAGAGCTCCATTTTTTATGCATATGAGTGTTTTTGCCTGCATATATGTAAATGCACCCATGTTGGGCAGTGCCCTAGGAGGTCAGAAGAGGGTGTAGAGTCCCCTGGAACTGGAGGTTATTAGATGCTATGTGGGTGTTGGGATTCAAACCTGGGTCCCCCCCCAAAAGACTTGCATCTGTTTATGAAATTGAAGAAACTATGAAATTTTAGAAGCTGTTGTATAATTTTTCTCATTTTCCTTCATATTATCTAGCCTCTTAAAAGTTATTGAAATATGCTGGGTGTGGTGGCACACACCTTTAATCCCAACATTTGGGAGGCAGAGACAGGCGGACCTCTATGAGTTCAAGGCCAGCATGCTCTACATAGCGAGTTCCATATCAGCTGGGGCTACAGGGAAACCCTACTTCAGAAAAGACAAAAAAAAAAAAGCTACTGAAATATTTCCCTTTTGCTATTCACTATTCTCTAGAATTCTAGAGTTTGGTTATAATAAAAAGTTTCTAAAGTCTGGTGTGGTAGCACATGCCTGTGGGTTTGTATAGCAACTTCTAGACCAGCAAGAAGTGTTAAATAAAAACAATGCCAAAACAAAGCAAAACAAATTATCAGAATAAATATGAAAGCTTAATGTACTTTTGTTTGCTTACTTTTCTTTTGAAAATTTTTTTCTTAACATTGTATTTATTTTTAATTTTTTATGTGTATGAGTGTATTGCCTGCATGTAGGTACGTGCACCTGTGTCATGCAATGTCCATGGAGGACAGAAGGCTGTTGGAACCCCTGGAACTGGAGTTATGGACAGTTGTTAGCTGCCATGTGGGTGCTGGGATTTGAACCTGGATCTTCTGTAAGAACAACCAGTGTTCTTAACTGCTGAGCCATCTCTCCAGCCCCTCTTTTGAATTTTTTTTTATATTTTATTTATTTTTATTTTATGTGTATGCGTGTATTGCCTGCATGTAGATAAAATACACCCGTGTTGTGAAATGCCCCCGGAGGAGAGAAGAGGCTGTTGGATCCCCTGAAACTAGAGTTATGGACAGTTGTTAGCTGCCATGTAGGTGCTGGGATTCGAACCCAGGTCTTCTGCAAGAACAGTCAGTGTTCTTAACTGCTGAGCTATCTCTCCAGCCGCTCTTTTGAATTTTTAAATAAAAGTTATTAGAAGCTGGACTTGGTGGCACATGTTTTTAGTCCCAGCACTCAGGAGGCAGAGGCAGGAGGATCTTTGAGATCTGGTCTACATAGCAAACTCCAGGCAAGCTGCAACTACAGGGCCACCCTGTCTCAACCCTCCCCCACAAAAAAATTATTTTTTAAGGATTTGTTTATTTGGGTGCTGAAAAGATGGCTTAGTGGTTAAGAGCACTTGCTGCTCTTGCAGAGGACCCAGATTCAGTTTCCAGCACCCAGTTGTGAGTGGTGGCTCACAACTGACCAGTTCTAGGGAGTCCTCTTCTGGCCTCCATGGGCACTGTATGTATGTGGTATATTTAAATCCTTGAAGCAAGACACTCATACAAATAAAGTACAAATCAATAAAATGAAAAAAAGGTTTGTTATGTTTATGAGTGTTTTGGCTACATGTATGTAAGTACATCACGTGCATGCAGTGCACACTGGTTTAAAGGAAATTTTATTTTGATGGGGAGTAGTGCTGGGGATAAAATCTAGGCCCCTGAGCAAGCTGGACAAGCCTCACTAAGATAAATCCCCCTCTACCTCTGTATCTTTATGTACAGAATGGAAACTAACTTTGAACCACAGGCTCATTTGTCATGCTTGTGAATTGTCAAAAACAAGTGTTCTCTTCTTGCCTTTCCTGTTTGGGCCACTGTTGAGTCGGAACTGTTCCCATTTGAATCTTAAATGTGCCGTGCAGGCCTATACCGCCTTGGTAGACAGCCTATTGCGCTATTGGTAGTGGTCTTCAGGTGGCAGGGTCTGCTGGCAGTAAACTATTAGGTCATGGAGGGATATTGGGGCCCCAGAACCTTCATTCCCGACCATCATACGTTGAGCAGCTGCCACCTCTATAACCTCCATGTGCTTCTGCCATGGTGCGCTATAGGCACAGGCCCAAAGCAACGTGGACATGGGCTACAACCTGAAACTGAACTGAAAGAAACCTTTTTAAAATCCGCTTCTCTCGGGCATTTTGTCTCAGCAATGGTAACTAAGGACACTAAATCAGACATGTTCTTTCCTTCCTGTTCTGGCATATCCTCTGCTACAGGATGGTTCCAGCAGAGCACACAGCCTTGCTCTACTGGAGCATGCTCCCCTGTCTTCATCAGGTGGCTTGGTTTCCATGGAGGTGGTGGTCCTTTATTAGCTGTGGTACATTTTCTGGTTCTGTCCTCATGAGCTACTGTTAGTCCTCAAAAATTTTGTGATTTTTCAGGCAGTGTGGTTGTTGCTGGAAGTGATAAGCTGGTGGTGAGCTGGGAAGCCGTGGTTACCCACCCATCAGGCCTTAGCCATCCTAGCTACTGTCAACCCACTGTTGGCTATTGCACTTCCGGGTTCCTATCCCTGTTACCAGTTGTTGCTGAGCTGTGGACTGGCTTCTCCCTTCCCACTGTTACTGGTCAAAGAGACACCATAGTATAAAGGATAAATCCAAGAAGCCACACCTAATTTCCTTGAGCTAGGATGGGGCCTGTAGGAGGAAGAAGAGGTGAGGAATTTAGTTCTGCTGCTGCTAGGGAATGTTGACCATTTTGTACTTTGGAAACTAATAGTCTGATTTGACCTCAAAACTTTTTGTTTGTGGTATGCTTGTTTTATTTTCAATTAAAAATGTAAATTACATTTTATTTCATGTGCACATATGTGTGGGTATGCATGTGCTATGGTATATGTGTGGAAGTCAGAGGACAACTTGGGTGTGGGTTCCTTCCATCATGTATGTCCCAGGAATTCAACTCCAATCATCCGGCTTGGGGGCAGGCCCCTTTACCCACAGGGCCATCTCACCAGCCCTCAATTTTTTTTTTAATTTCCTCTGTGTTGAATCTAGTATGTATGTGCTCTACTACTGAGCTACATCTCCAGCCCTTGTTTGTTTTTAAGATAGGGTCTCATGAAGTTACTTCTGCTCACCTTCTGCTTCAGTCTTCTAACTATCTGGGACTATAAGAATTCACCATGATACCCACCCAAATGGGTATCATGGTCATTTTAGTCATTGTGTACAAATTGTGGGTTCTGACCTTTCGCCTCATACTTTAGTGTCTGTATATATATGTCTGTCTCATTAGTGGCCCTTTATATTAAATATTTAAAAGTGCACACAGCATAGTTTTCTTAACTATTCTCTTAATCTTACTGGGTTTCTCAATAAAATCCTGTAAGTAAACTTTCATTTCTTTGTATTTCAGATGACATTTTTCTTTTAGGATTTTGAATTTCTGAAGTCTAACCAGTGTGCACAAACTACTCTCCAGAAGGCAAAATCCATTGTTGCCAGCGCATCCACAATGTCGGGTGTACAATCAAAAACAGCCAGGTTTCTGAAGAAGCAGAAGAAAAGGCAGTTAGATCTGGATAGGGAGACAGCTCCAGATAGGGAGACAGACCCAGATAGGCAAATAGCCCAGGATAGGCAGGTGGCCCCAGACAGGGACACAGCCCCTGAA